AAAAAGAAGTCTCTTCTGCTCAGCAAGGCTGCATTTATTTGATCAGGAATACAGTAAAAATGTTAAATATTATTATAATGTAAAACAGCTGTTTTCTATGTGAATATCTGTTAAACTGTAATGTATTTCTGTGATGCGCAGCTGTATTTTCAGCATCATTACTCCAGTCTTCAGTGTCACATGATCTTCAGAAATCAGTATAATATTCTGATTTGCTGCTCGAGAAACATTTCTGATTATTATCAATGTTGAAAACATTAATATTTTTGTGGAAACTGATGCATTTTATTTTTCAGGATTCACAGATGAACAGAAAGTTCAAAAGAGCAGCATTTATTAGAAATAGAAATCTACTGTAACATTATGAATGTCTTTTACTGTCACTTCTGATCAATTTAATGCATCTTGATGAATGTATTTATTTCTTAAATTAAAACAAAAAAACAAACAAAAAACCCTACCAACCTCAAACTTTTTGAGATACTTTTAGTTTTTATTAATATTTTGAATTAGCTTTATTTCTAGATTTTCTGTTTTCATTGTAATTTTGTAGTTAACATTTTGGTAATTTTGTTTAGTATTTTTTATACATGTTGACATAGTTTTTATTCATTTTTATTCCAGTTTGAAGCTTAAATAAAATACTTTTTAAAAAATATTTTATTTCATGTTTTCATGTTCATGTTTTATTTAATTCAAGTTTTTTATGGTTTTAGTTTTACTTAAGTCAAGTAATGTTTATTTTGATAGCGCTTTATACAGAAGAGACTGATTCGAAGCAGCACCACAGCATTAAACAGGTTAAACAGTTAAAGGTGCAGTACCTGATTTCTGAGAAACGCTGTTAATATTTGAAACCACCAAAACAAACACGCCCCTACCTAAAGGATCACACCCCTAGTTTAATAGCTCCGCCCCCAAATTCACAAATACTGTGCAACACAGGCACCTCCCCCGTCATGAGTGGACACGCCCCTTACTGCTGATTGGCTACGAATGTATACTGCGCGTGCATACTACTGTACTAACCCTGATTCACATGAACAGTAAGTAGGTTTTCAGATGCGTTTCTCTCTCTCTGCACACAGGTATCCGTCCGTACCGGTGTGATCTGTGTGAGAAAGCCTTCACGCAGCGCTGCTCTCTGGAGTCTCACCTGCGGAAGATCCACAGCGTGCGGCAGCAGTACGCATACCGCCAGCGGCGCTCCAAGATCTTCGTGTGCGAGGACTGTGGCTTCACCTCCAACCGGCCGGACGAATACTTCCTCCACGTCAGACAGCAGCACCCGAGCAGCCCGGCACTGCGCCGTTATTACCGCAAACACATGCTGGAGAGCCCCGCGCAGCACAGCATCGCCCCCTTCATGCTGTACCCCGCCGCAGGACTCTACATGTGAAGCACAGCAGTGCCGTTAGACTACATGCATACTATGCACAAGATACTCACACGACAGGCACGACAGGGTTCATTCTGCATCTCCAGTAAATGATTCTTGATTTAAGGATTTAATACCACGACTTTATGGACTTTATGAATTCTGCTCTGATTTACAAACTTTTAAGGCTTTAGTTTGTGGAAGGGTGAATTAAGATGTTTTAAGATGATATTAAATTTCATGATATTAAACACGCAACATTATCTTCATTATTTTGGCACTTGAGGAATAAAACATGCAGCAGAGATGACAACAATGTAACAGCCTTCTGTTCTGAATATATATCTTTGCATAATGTGTGCTATTTCACATACTATTTTTCTTAAATAGTAGGAAATATTCTGTTCACTGCATTCTGTTCAACTGTTTTTAGAATAAATTCAAATAAATCTTCTTTATTTCTTAAAAATATTGAATACCACTCAGATTAATCTTTGAACAGTGTATTGTATTATGAATTTTTATCTAAACAATTTATTAATATAATATAATATAATACTTAAATATAATTATTTGATGTGAGCAGCTATTTAACAGTTTTGAAGACATTTTAAGACACTTTCAAGGCCTTAAAATAAGAGTCATTATAAAAAGACACAGTATAGAATACAGCAATATACAAGTCACAAACGACAAAGGATTGTTACAGAAAATACGTTTTAAAATA